TATGTCTACACAAAAGCTGTCGGTCACGTTTATATAGTAGATACATTCACAAAGTGCTAGATGGAACGATTATCAGGCTTTGCCATTAATGCCAAACACATCGCCGTTATAGTTTTTTATCCAATCTGGGTTTTTCAGTAAATGCTGCTGGATAGTGGAATTCCATGTTTTGGTTGTCGTTTTTGATTTGCAAGACAGAGTACCCTGTTCTCTTTGAGGGATAGTTTTGTTTCTATTACTGGAAGGGACCTGCTGTCTTATTATATCCCCAATCTACAATTCTTACAATTTCTTCGACTTTCCTTCCAAAAATATGCCTGTTTTCTTTAGATTGAAAGGTTCTAATCGCTACAAACGTACCTTTCGGTTAACTATCCTTTCCCAAATAGATAAAAGTTTATGCCTATCATCGCCCAACAAGCAAAAAGTAATTCTCTGAATAGGAAATTTTAGGGGAGCGATTCTTCCTTCATGTTCTGTTTAGGAGAGCAATTCATTGCTCGCCTTAGCTTGCGTGAGGAGCATGGAGGCGAGCGAAAGCTATCGCTCTCCTCAAACAGCCAGGCCTGAAATATCCCCAAGTTAATTTTTTGAAGATAGCGCAAATTGGTGCAAAAATAAACTTTTTGATCGCAGGTGTTTCACAGGTACTTTACTCACCATAGCTCAATTTTTGTGTTTTGGCAAATGTTGATATTGTTCAGAAATTGACAAAAATCAATTCTTACATTTGCTATTATCAGCATCAAACCTTGATACATTTCCCTATATATTCCAACTAAAAAGTCATCTTACAACTTTTATAAAACTTTTGGTGACCATTTGAATCTTGGTTTGCTAAAGAATTTTGCTATAGTGCCGCCATTTCTGTCTCAGCCTGTGCAATACTTTTGCTCACTAAGTGTAGATATGATAAAAAATGAAAGATGATATCCTGAGCTAGTAAGTCGAATCATTCTGAAAGTAAACTTACAACAAAGGTTTCATTGCAGTGCCCACATGTTACTCTGATTCGACTGTCAGTATTTTGAACCTGTGGAACAGGGGCAGATGCTGATGGTGGTCCTCCTCCAACGTTAATTATTCTTTTACTGGAATGAAAAGAGTAGGAATCAAAAGAAAACATACAACCCAGCATCAGGTTCAAGAAATAGACATAATTACCCAAACAAAGACACCCAAAAGACAGTCCTGGTAATATTTGATGTGCACTCACACACCTTCATGCACGCCTTAAACTGCAATGGCCTTCTTTTTATTGCACATGCAGTCACATGATTTGACTTAATATTCTTATTCGCTTATGTTTTTTTCATTTCTTGTTATTTTTATGCTTTGGTATTTACATCATGCCACTTCTGTTTGGTCAAAACAAGATCGTGGGTGTTTCCATTACTCCATTTTTATCTGTTCTCGTGTCCTTTGTTCGAGCTCTTTTTGCCAAGATTGAATGACTCCATTTTCGAATGCCTTTGTCTATACTGTTCCCAATTGAACAATGCATTTTCAAATGATTCCAGTTTGAATCCACTTTGAACAGCGTTTTGAATGACTCCCGTTTGGTATGAAATGACTCCTTTTTTGAGCATATTAATGGAACTCAAAATTGAATAGTATCCGCCCTCACACAAATATGGAGGAATGGCAACAGGGCCTAAAAACTTGTATGCTTTTTGTTAAATCATTCTGTTTTCAAGAAACATCTTCAAAATTCTGTAAAAATTATTTGGTTGTATGAAAACCTTGAACACATTTCCAAACAGTCATACACCCCTTCAAATACATATATACATGGCATTTAGAGACCTATCAGGTCTTTTTAAAAATCATCAGGTCTTTATCAAAATCATATGGTCTCCATTTTATGGATTGCAAACCATCACATGCCTAAACTTTTCAAGGCGTGCAATTACCAGCATATCAACAAATTTCATATTACCAGGACTGAAAGATGAATAACAAACCATTTTTATAGATAATTTCATAGCTCATTGAGAACAATAAAAACCAAAGTACCAGTTTGTTCTTGGACAGGATATTCTTGTTGATGTGGAACGGCAAGTAAGTAAAGCATTGCAAGGACATCTAATGTATTTTTTGCCATGTGGTGGTGGCTTTATTGGCTAAAAGAGAAGAAAATATTCAGATTAGCTTGTTGGGTACCTTAATGCTTTCATTTGACCAGGAGCCTTGCATAGATTTAAACAGAAAGAAGGTCAGTTTATCAGGCCTTTTGTAAGAAATCGATCACTCTTAAAATGATATTAATGGTCAATGCTAAAAGCGTTTATATGTTTATAAAAACTGTATGATCTTTTTGTTTTAAGGTAATATCAAATGAAATATAACTGTTATGATGACCTTTAATGCACTCCAAGAAAGATTAAATAGTCCTAATATAAATGTGCTTTGTTTAAAAACTTTATGTACATCAAGAAGGTCATATAGACGTTATTTCCGGAAGATTGCAAAATGTTGTTCTTTTTCAAAAATGCTTTAATTGACTGTCACAAAAAATGACTACAATTGTGTCAATTGATGAGGCATTTATTCCTCAAAATTTACCGTTTTGCACAAGCAATCAAACACTCACCAGTTGGGTTTGCACGAGTGCTGATGCAATCGTGAGTGATTGCTTGCATCAAACAAATAGGCCTGGTTTATCAAGTTCAGTTACATTGAGTTTTGGTTGGAAATAGTTCTAAAATCTAGAATATTGTGAGAAGATTTCTGCAAAAAGTTTTATACTGATGTACTTTTGCATATTGACATAATAATAGCATAATAACATACAAACATATTTCATATATATTTGGTAAAAATATTGTCTAGTCCAGTTTCACTAATGCATTTGTAAGGAATGGTAGCTACATATGAACTTCATGCAAGAGACAGTACTTACTGTGGCTTCGTGGCAACTGGCACATTTAACCACTCTCTGATTCTCTCTTCCGCGTATAAAGATCAACTGATGACATACTCGACAGGCAACAGTTGGCTCACCAAGGACGCCAGGAGGTGGACCAGAACTGTATGGTGGTGGTGCTTCACTGTATGCAGGAGGCGGTCCTTCTAGTGTAGAGTCTGGTGCAGCTTGAACTGGAATGACAACGGGAAAGTGCATTGTAAAATACGAGTCTAAACTTCTTTGAAATGGTTCTGGCTCAAGAAATATCTAGATACTAAATGGTGCAACAGAAAGTGTTTTTTCTGCGTATTGGACAAGGATATAAAATTTTCCCCTTTAGTTTTATCACCAAATTTCAAGTGAAAGAGAATACAAAATTGTTTAAGCTTGGTGTAAATAAAATTAAGCTTGAAATTAGAAACTCCCTTCAAACAAGCACCTGCAAAATTTGATGAAGGTTCCCTTTGAATGAGCAACCATACCCCCTACCCTCAAATGTAAAACTGTTCCTTGCTTATTGAGAGAATGATGAGGCTGATGGGATGATGGTGGTGCACTAATGGTTCACTTCATAATGAAGTTAGATCCCATTGATTTCCAACACTCTACTTTCATTTTAGTTACATGCTACTTGGATAAATCATAAAATTTATTCAGTGCCCCCCTTTCAATGACGGCCTTCTTCGAATAGCTGAAAATTATTAGAGGATACAGATATGGTAACCCTTATTTTAAAAAATTAAGACCAAACCTTTTCGATAATAATAAACAAAATGAATTTTCTACAGAAAGCATTTACTAAAACCTACAATAAAGGCATGTGCAGTACTTTATAAAAATGAGGCATCTCACAACAAATATCTACAAGACATTGGCAAAAAGAAGAGAAAGGGTAAATTTCAAGAGTGGAGCCCCACTCTTGACAAGGAATGTTATGATGATGCGATGGAAATATTAGGGGTTGGGTGCAAGCAGTTAAATCTTACTAAATGTCTAACTTCAGCAGAATAATTACTAATGTAATAAGGTCTTTGAGAGTCAAGACTGTAGCTTCACAAGGGCAAATTCATAAACTTGTTTGGGTTGTGTCATACAGCAGTTTGATGAGATACCTTTCAGCAGGCAACTTTAGTTAACAATTTTAGTATTATTGCAAATGCTTGTTTTGGCAACATAAATGCTTCTGAAATTTTAATTCTAAAACCCTAGATCAGAGCAATCAGAAAGTTAACTTTCTTACTATAATTTAATAAATGGAAAAAACTTTGAAAGGAAGACAGATTACTGGAAAAACTTATCCATCAACCAAAGCCTACTTTCATTACATTTCAAACGAGCATTCTGCTGTGATTGTGGCCTTTGCTAACCTAGTGTCTTTACATTTTCTATTGAACAACCCAGTGCATCAATTTCAAGGTCACTAAGCGTCAAAATAAAGATCGCATGAGTGCTTAAAACAGGTCTCCGCCACCATTATGTCCCTACAACTTTTGCCAGTATTTCATTGATAGTTTCAAGTTTTAAATTTACTTCTTCTCCGAATTTTCAGACAGATAGAGCACTTGAGGCAAGCAGGGGTAGAAACAACTTGTAGATACGCCTGACAGTGGCTTGGCCTAACAACCAGACCGAATTGTTTCAGCGACACATTATGGCCTAAGTGTTCAAAACTGTCGGTTACCTGTGGGATTTGGCGGCGAAGAAAGAATAGGTTCAGCTGGGTTCTCTCCACCTTCGTTAAGTAAAGGAGCTGTTTCTGATGTATTTTCTTCCTGGTCATTTGTGTCATTTCCTTGGTGATCCATTTTCCTGACTTTATTTAGTCTCAACTCGTACCATCAATTTGTAATTTGTCATATGACTTCAAGGATTCATCCCCAGTCCACAACAATTCGATGACTGGTATATGGTTTCCCACTTGGTCGAAAATATTCTACGACTTGGTTAACCTTGCGCAATGCTTCAATATTTCAACATATTTCTTTATCTTTAAATACTTTGGCTTTGTTTTGATGAAATTGTATGCTGATGTATCATAGTACGAGATGAAAGCAACTAAACTAGGGCAAACCATGCATAAGGTAAAATAAAGATCATTTTGCACTGTTTGAAGTACAGTTCTAAATGTAATTGTAGATCTAAGGACTTTTTGGTAGTTATTAAACATCTGAATGCGAGGTGAAAGGGTTGCAGCGATCTGTCATCAAAATGGGGTAGGGGGAGAATTTTTCTTGAATCGAGTCTTGAATGTCGTATTTAAAGACCAAAAGCCCACTGGAACTTAGCTGGAACAATGAAACGTAATATAAATTCGAATTATAGCCTCTTTGTTGATGGTTGGTTTTAATTTTGCAGGGCAACCTATTAGCAGAGTCCAGAAAAGTTATCAACCTTTCCAGGCCAAAAATATCTTACTATAAAAACTTCCCCATTTTAAAGGTTTAAAATGAGCGTGGTCAGAAAACTGGGTAAACAGCCAGTCTTGATCTACTCTCCTGGTAACTCTGTTTTTTCAAAACTTTACTATAAAATTGTAGCTTGTTTTCAATTATAAATATTGTTAGAAACCGATGTAAAGTTAAATGCTTTTATCGATTAATGAAAAAATCGTATAATTCAAATATTCAAGTTATAAAAAGTTAATGCCTTAATCATACAGTGCAAGTAGCTCTGCAAACATATTCACATTAAAAAACAGGAGGTTTTGAATTTTGTTCTGATTTTATTCATTTTTTTCATGACTGTATTTTGAAAACCAAAAGGCTATAAAAATTTTTCAACTTCCTCAAGTTTCCAAATTTTTTTCCACCTTCCTGGATTTCTGTTTGGCTCTACAACCGTCGGCCAGCGGCTGTGGGCCGTGATGTTTTTCTGACTCTAGCTATTAGCTTCATTAACATTAAATCAAAATGTTGAATTTTACTAGAATGATGTACGTGGACAATTTAAACCACACAAGAATTGTTTTAATGACAAATAAAATTGTTTTCTTCAATTTCCAGTTTCCATTTGTAGCCTTAGAAGGTTTGAAAGAAGGTCTAATTTTCCTTTGAGACGACTTAGTTCCCTGGGTGGGGAAAAGGAAACTGTTTATACAAGAAACTCCAATTTTTTGCAACAAGCTAAATTTCTAGCCATGTTATTCAAACCAGAAATAAGAAAATGTTGTTTCTCTCTTACCCAAAGACACGGAAAGCTTTCTGCAACTGCAACACGAAGTTTTGTTTATTTAACATGATGCAACAAAATTCCAGATTAGTTGCTTTTTCCAAATAACTACAAATTAAATAAAAGTATTATTGTGGTCTTCACGGCCTTGAGGCAATCCCCCCCCCTTGCCCCCTCTCGGTGGCCCTGAGTACTTCAGTCATAGAATTGGAATGATTCATAGATCAGTGGTTCGAAAGAGATGAATCTAATTGTGATTATAACAAAGCCACAATAAGGGCTGGAAAACAATTTCTTACAAATGATAGAATGTTTAAAAAAGGCAATCTCCAATTCTTGTATTACATAGTATTTCAGAGGCTTATAACTGTCTGTTTGGCATAATAAGACCGTAAACAATTCATAGCTGGGTAGTTTTTCAATTGACTGTGGATAAAAATAACATGGTACGAAATGATCTCCCGCCAATCTAGTATAAGAGAGCTTTGAAGATGGAGGCAGGAGACTTTCAAATACTTCAAATTTGGAATTTCTCTCTTGCAGACATAACGGTAAGAACCGGATAGGCTTGTGGTAAATAGTGCTGCATTGTACAAGGCACGCCCAAATATGTTTTGGATTCAATTGTTTTGATTCGAGAATTTCTATCTAGAAATATGACATCACAATACCCATAGAAAAATAACCCAATTGATTTTATATTTAGTGAATAATATTAGGTACAAACTATTGCGATTTTCTTCTTATTATGAACTTGTTACAAGAAAAGATTGTTGGTCATTCAGATGAAATTAAATAATTTCAGTATTAGAAAGCAAAAAATGAAGGAACACTTGAATTTCAAAACAATGCAGAGCAAAATAAATTAATTTCACGATTTCCAATCAATACTGAAATGGATAGATGACATCGAAACCTGGGTTGGGTTACCATTACGAAAACTATGGCCAAGTTTGTGCTATAATGTATCATGTTTTGCATAAAGTGGAGAAAACGAAATTAAATAATGTTGGAAGGTTTGTATAATACTTTAACGCAAAAATATAAATGCTTCAAAAGTCTCAAAAATTCTACTCAACCAAAGTCCAAACTCTTTGATCTTCTTTTATACTAAAAATATTTAAATATGAATATAAATATGAATTTAGATACGGAAAATTTCGTAGAAACAACATACTCTGATGTTACTGATGTAAATATATAAATCCCAAGAAAATTTTCGAATGGGTCGCCCTAAATTGCTTTGTACATGGGGGTCTTACTAGTCTGTAACTCCCCGACGAAGAAAATGGGCCAAACTTTGACCAAAAGATCTGAAATTTCAGTTCTTCACAGATACACGCATTTTTATAAGGAGCCACTTTATAAGGAACCTACATGTAGAAGGCCGAAATATATAAAGAACTTATACTACTAAAAACAAATTCCCTAAGGAACTTTCCAATTTGAGAAATTTTTATAACTGCAAGAATCAAGAACTAAAAAGCTGATTCCATTCATTTGCAGCCATTCATTTGGTTGCTATTTGTGTGTCAAATGAGTAGTTTCCGCATTTGTTATTTCGCCCCTTTCTCAATTAAGTGTAAGGGCTTGTTGTAGTCAAAACAAATTAAGGAACTATTAAGGAACTTTTGGTACTACAATTTGATGATTTTAGGTCTACGAATAAAGAACTAGGCGATGAAGTAGGTTCCTTATAAAAAAAGCGTTTATGCAACTGTGAAATATTTGTGAAGCCTTGGCGAAGAAAAAGGGCTGCTTTAGCAAGAGAAACAGCTTTTTAATTGAGGGCGTCCTGTGGTCTGGGATAGGAGTTAATAAAAGAATTTGGCAGAAACCCGTTTTGACATAGAAAATCCTTTAGCCATGAATGGAATGTCAAATTGGACAATATAGTTATCTTCTTTTGTAATAGTTATTGTTAGCTTCTGTAGTTGCGGCTGCGCAGTACTTTATAATAATGAGATTCCGCCTACGTGCCTGTCTAATCTTATGTTTGAGTCACCTGTGGTCATTGGGGATTCCTTCCTTAGCTACCGGGAGGCAAACAACAAAAAACAGAGTCGCTGGTTGGATGATATTTTTGTATGATTACAGAATGGCCAGCGATAAAAGTATGTGTATATCATGGAGGCCAGGTCACTCAGTGCAGACGACAGTAGACCGCGGAACTCACACGCGAGGGCTCGCCTATCAGAAAGTTGGTATATTTGCTGCCTAAATGTTTTCGGATAATGGATTTGTAAGCCAGATTGTGCCAATGGATGAATTACTGCAAGCGGAAGAAGACTGGGATGATATGGATATGTATTTAAAAACCGAGGAAAGTGACGACCAAATTTCTAAAAGCCAGACTTTTCCAAGTCTTTCGTCTCTTTATTCTTTAGATATTCCTGAGAATTCAAGGCTAGAAATTTCAACGGAGATGCAAAACGATCCAGCACCGACGGGTAATTCAGTTCCTTTTTCAGATATGGCCTATCTGAGGTCTTTGGTTGGCATACCATGCGATGATAGCTCGAAAAAAGGGGCGTGTTCAACCACGAGTAGCGTCGACCAAAGGCCACTCTCTGTTACGAACGAGGAAACTGAGGTAAAAGCACAAAGTCAACAAGAACAACCCTGGGATTTTTCTTCATCAAGCGTTCCATCAACGCCATCAACCCCAATAACTGTATCATCTGTTTCGGATATATCGGATATTTTTGATGACGATTTCAGCGATGACTCTAAAGATATAATACTTAGTGCTGCATCATTTTCAGACGATGTAACAGACGATGAGCTAACACAATTGTCAGTTAGAGAACTGAACAAGAAGTTGAAGGGTCTTCCTCGAGAAGCTATGCATCGTTTAAAGCAAAGGAGGAGGCTCTTAAAGAACCGGGGCTATGCCCAGAAGTGCAGGACACGTCGTGTCCAACAATACAGAAATTTATCAGAAGATAATGCAGAACTGTACAAACAGATAGATGAACTACAAAATTTAGTCAGGATTTACCAGAAACAAAAAGACGATTATAAAGCGAAGTATGAAAAGCTCAAAAGTAGAATTATCTCGAGCACATCAAAATGAATTTCAAATTAAGGTGATATAGCCTCTATTTAGATTAATTGTTAGTTTTCAAATTTGTTTGCACTTTTGCCTATCCTCAGTGAACTTATGATATCTTGTATAGTTAATATAACGCCCTAGGCATTCTAATAACAAATGTAGAAGAATTGTGTGTATATATAAACCGAAGGTGCATTTCAGTATTGGCAATGCTTGCCTTACCAAGGCAAAGTTTTGTAGAAGTCGAATCCGTATTTCCTTTTTACTGAGCAAGGCTTGCATTTAAATACCTTCTAAAGGTTCCCATTATAATTGTTATAATTGCAACTTTCAGCTAGCATTTTTATTTAGTAACAATACTGTTTTAATATCGACATTATGCGCATTGATGAATCGTAAATATCAGCTTCAGTTAGGTTTTACCATTTTACTTGTCACTCAGTTTGGTCAAAGCTGGTTCTATTACCTTTAATTGTTGTATGACTGGTGCATACAGCTCGTTTGGTAGATTTTTTTTAGTTATTATCTGAAAATGTCAGGATTTTTTATTCAGAGCCTTAAGCCACGATGAAGTAGTGTAGAATTACAATAGCATCATTTTAATATGTAAATAGTTAGTACGCTTAAGATTTTGGCAATGTAATATAAAATGTGGTGTTATGCTATTTG